TATTTTAGTATATAAGAGCTTATGAGTCTTATTTTAACGTCTTTTTTTAAATAAAAATTTATATTTTTAAGCTTTTCGCATGGTAAGAAATGATCAAAATCCTATTATTACTTATATTTTACTTAAGATTTTTGCATTATTATAGCTAAAAAAAGAAATTTTTCGTTAACTTTAAGCTGTTACGTCCACAGCAATTTTATTGAGTGATTATTAATCTTGATAAATTAATTATAATTCAGTAAGCTTTCTCATAAATAGAATTTAAAAATTATCTCCTTAAAACTTATTTAAAACGAGCTTTCAGATAAATTAGAAGATGGTTCCAGGAGATTTTTTTATATTTTTTTTATTAAAGTTTGCCACGTTTTTAGGCGTTAAAATCTTTTGCAAATTAATTATTTTTTAAAGTAAATTATTATCGTTAATTCTAACATCGCGGTTTTATTAAATTTTCCATTCAATGTAACCTATGTTTGATAAATAAATAGTCTATCAGGTTACACTTTCGGAGTTTTGCGAGTTATAAATAATGACAAAACTTGAAACCATCCATCAAAATATGAAGTAAACCTGTCAAAATTTCTTTCTTGTAGAAGAGAAAAGATAATGTCGAAGCTCGTTTCTGCTCCCTGAGCAAACATGGATGCAATTTTGATCTAAAAAGAACTTTCTTGAATTATTAATTAACTATAGGAAAATTTTTATGAGATTAGAAAATACGTTTATGTTGAAGAAAATAACAATATGGACTTACAGTTTTAGTATAAATACATGTAAATTATTAAAATCTTTTTCAAAATAAAAAAAAAAAGGCGAATTTAATGCATTTTAGAATAAAATTTCAAGAATTTTAAACATATTTAACTGTATTAAATTATATTTTTATTAAAATTAAACGTGATTTTAATTATAAGTCATTAATAAGTTACAGATGCACCGTCTCTCTCTCTCTCAATTTTCTTCTTTCTTCGTCTTTCTACTTGCAATTATCACAATTAAATTTTCCTTAATTTGTTAGAAATTATATAAAATTTTAATATAATAAAATGAAATTAAAGATAGTTATTTATTATTTAAACATAGATTAAAAATTCTTATTTTAAAATAAACATATTGAATTAATAATATAAGAATCGCATCAATTTTTCTCAGATTAACATATCTAAATTAAAATCCAAGAGAAGTTTCCTACTAATAAATGAAATTACTAAAATAAAAATAAATATTTCGAATTAAATTAATTAAAAATGATTTATTTATCTTGTAACTTTTGATAATATTTATCTAAGGAATAATTCGAAACATTTTCAAACTTTGGAGAAAAGTTTATCTCTTCTCATTTAAAATATTTGTTAAATATTCTTAATTAGATACGTGGAAACGAAAAGGATATACTTTTATATTATCTTCAATGTTTAATTTGCATATTTCCTTTATAAATTATTCAATTATTCATTAAATTTGCAATGGGTCTAAAGATAAACACAACTTTACAAGTCGTAGCTTACTGTATACAAGAAATATCATGTAAAGAGAAAACAATAAAGGATTAATGATGCGGAAAATCAGTTAAAAACTTCATTTTTATCGTGGGAAATCTTTTGTTATAAGTTTTAATATCGGAAATAAAGCGGAAATTAGGATATTGGTGGGTTTAAACTGTATATAGTACGTTTCCATCGCAGCATAAAAATCTGCACATTTGTAAGTGCATTCAGCTTTAATTCCTATTATTTATGCTTAATTAAGGATTGTTTTTTAAGCAATTAAGTAAGTATAAGTAAGTTAATACAAGTATATAGATTTGTCATTATAATTTAAACTTAATTTCGACTTTCTTTTATTTAAGACATGCTGATTCATGTTGTTTATGAGGTGTTAAACTGAATTGCACTTTTGAGCCAGGCTGCAAGTTTATGATAAAAATTAAAAATTTATGCAATTTTCCTGATTAAAATTAATTAAATTTAATTAAAAATATCTATTATTAATAATTGCAAAATTTTAATGCGCTTATTTAATCTACATTGTTTTTTTTTAAATAATAATTTATATTAAAAATTAATTTTGGAGAGCAAATTTAAAAATTAATTCATATATTGTACAGTATAATATAAATTTATGGAATTTCAATTGTTATAGTTAAAATATTCGAAAACGAGTTAAATTAGCCAGGGCTCATCAACCGTATTGTTCTTCACAGCATGTGACGTTACAGGCTTATAAGGCTGCGAACATATTTAAGGCCAGACGAAGATCTTGGATTGTTAGTTGCAAGCAATTAGTTTACCAGTTTACACCTTCAAAATGTGCTCTTCCCGCTCGAGTTTTTCCGAATTAGAGTTTGAACAAGATCCTTATTGCATGCAAAATCTTTTTCCGGTAAGACTTGATTTTTATCATTTTTACTAAATATTGGCTATTTACTAAATTTATACTAAATTACTAATAAAGGCCTAGACTCGGGCCTGCATGCATGCCCGAGTCTAGGCCTTTGCATGCGATCATTTTTTGTAATTGAGGCAGAGGTCCGGTTTAATACGGAGATAAAGTCCGGATCTTTAGGAGCCTGGTCGGTTAATAAACTTAAAATATAAGCATTATGGGCCTTGTAAATTATTATTATTATTATTATTATTTGCACTAGGGCACGTGACTGTCCTTCTATGTTACGCTTATTACTGATTTGACCTTTGAGATTGTGTACAGTACCTATTAGTGAGGAGTTTTTGGTTATAGTTTTGCTTTAGTAGGGAAGAACTTTAAAAGGGAAATGCTATCACAGATAAGTTAGATAACTTAGTATATATATAGAAGATTTTTTAGTTATTTCATGCATTTAGATATCAATTCTTAGTTATAGAAATGTAAAATTACCAATTGGAACAATGTAAATCAGGTAAATTATTATATTTAATTTAGTTTAAATATAAAATTTCGGCTTTTGCAAATCTTAATAAGGGCTCGTATATATATATATATGTTTAAAATTGCAAATAAATTTAATAATTTAGTTCTTAACGAATGATAAATTAAGTATAATGCGAGTAATTATACGTAGAAATATTAATAATTAATTAATGCTAATTAGACATTACTTATTATTAAATTTATATAAAGTAAATTATTGTAGATACTTTAATGTTTGCATAACGTTAGTCAGTAAAGGAGCAAGGGTTTTAGGATCTTTGCTAGATTGAAACTTGGTCTGCGAGAGATTCTCCAGAAATGAGCAAGTATAAACTAGAATTACTAACCAGTTTGATTATTATTTGTATAGATTTGTACAGTACATAGAACCAATATTCCCTCTAATTTTTTTTTGTCGATGAGTGGAACATATACTTCTCTGAGCAAAAAATATTTTTGCTGAGCATATATATATATAAAATCTTATTTTTTTCTATAAAAATTAAAATAATTAATTATAAAGTAGAGATTAAAATTCATTTTAAAACATACTTTTATACAAAATATTAGCTTTTGTCAATGATTTAATGTATTTAATCGAAATATACGCAGCAATAATCATGTTGCAGACAGAAAGAGAAATAAGTAAACAACAATTCAAATCGGTNAAGCCGCGCAGCCGCACACTGCTCAAATTGTTGCCGCGCACACGAGAATTTGTGTGCTGCGCAGGCGAGCATGCACACATTGATTTGAATTGTTGTTTACTTATTTCTCTTTCTGTCTGCAACATGATTATTGCTGCGTATATTTCGATTAAATACATTAAATCATTGACAAAAGCTAATATTTTGTATAAAAGTATGTTTTAAAATGAATTTTAATCTCTACTTTATAATTAATTATTTTAATTTTTATAGGAAAAAATAAGATTTTATATATGTGCTCAGAAAAATTTTTTGCTCAGAGAAGTATATGTTTTGCTCATCTACAAAAAAAAAAAAAAATTAGAGGAAACTTTGATCTGTGGTAGCCAATCACTTTGCATATCTGATGAAACAGATATATAATACGTTATCATCCCTATTTTCGACCAGAGATTGGTCTTTTACATCTAATGTTGACCCATAAAAACCGGATATTTTGGCTAAAAGCAAGAAATCGGGTAACACTATGGGGTCTAGTGATAAAATTATTTATAGGACCTTCAGAAAGAAAACGTGTTGTTACCCAAACGAGTCTCTTATACACTTCATCACCCTCTCATAACTATATTTTCCATTGAAATTAGTGAATTTTTAAATTAAATCAGCATTTATATTGAATTTTATTTAATAATAATCGAAAAAATATGCAAATTTAGTATCCTTTGCAAGGTTTGGGGAGTCACATGCATGCATGCACAAATGCGTTCAAATGTTCTAACGTTCTGTTTCTGAGAAACCCTTAAGGTGTTTGAGAAAGTTGCGTGTGTTGGTCAAAACCTGCCGAAACTTGCCGACAAAGCAATACATTAACGAGCAATGCTTACAAAAGAAAAATATTCGTATTTTATTAAAGTTAATTAATCATTTACTGCATGACTCTTCGAATTGGCAAAAAATTTTCATGCAATATTCTAGTTATGTAATTTTGTTTGTTGCGTTTAATGCAGTTTTATTTATTTTTAATTAATAATTTAAGCAAACGAGTAATTTTAATAAGCATTAATGCAGTTCTAAGCTGCAAGTGTTAATACGTCCTTGAAGGCCTTTACGGAATCCTAATGAAGGTGCAATAGCTTTACAGATCATCTGGAGCTGTAATAAACACTGCTACGAATCTAAAAGTGTAATTTAGTAATTCTTACGAACAATTAAGTAATAATTTAATTAAAAATGATTAGAAAAAATTGCCTCTTATTTATTATATTACTACGTTACTAAAACTATATGCCTACTTAAATATTCGCATATTCGCGTTTAATTTGCTTCAAATACTTTTTACAGGATTTGTTTGATGGCCAGAACGATACGTTCACTGCAAACGTTAACACATCTGAACCTCAAAATAATGTAGCAAATATTTATTCTAATGAGGTAAGATACCGTTTTTAAAGCGTAATTCACTCTTTATTTATCATAATAGCTCTTAAAATAATTTAATATTGTATTATAGGGTCATAATATGAACACCACTTTGGATTATAACTGTACAGTTAATAATAATAACTCGTTGAAATTAACCCACTTTCCGACTCCATCTCCAGAAAATAATTACTGGTCAGATATAAGTGACGAAGACACAAGTTCAGATACATCTGTAAATAATCCACAACGTAACAATAATTATCCTTTAATACGTCAGGATTTGAATTGTTATCCGACCCCACCGCAAGATTATAACTATAATCCGTACCTTACTCAAAATAACAGTCTCGATCAAGCAAGGCCACGACGTTTATCAAACGAAGAACTTTTCGCAGATTCTGAAGAATTTATTCAAAAAGAACAGGTAAATTTTACGTAATTAATCTAATTTTAATTAATAATAATATAAATAACTTACATATAATATTATTAAAATAATATTTTGTAATCGATAAAGCCGCCATTTTTCTTCTTAAAGGTCGAGATCTTTCAATGTTTAACGCGTTAGAAATTAATTTAAAAAATTCGATTTCGAATAATAAAATGTATCTAGGGTATAGTTCGATAGGTTAATTTAGTATTAATTAACTAAAATAACTTAGATTTTTATTAAAATGTTAATTAAGATGTAGTCATAAAGTTTGTATAGAATCTTCCCTTTGGCATTAATTAACTTTTTAGCATCGTCAAATGAATTTTATTCAAGATAGAATTTACAAACTTTACGATAAAATTTATAAGATAAACGATATTATTACAGAATTAATTAATTATGCAAATTATCCTAACGATAAACTAAGATACATCTTTATTCTTTTCAAAGAGAAGTAAAATGCTCCTTAAAAAAAAATAATAAATAAATAAATAAAAAAGATTTATTTTAATCACCAGTTTACATAGATATTGAGCTAATGTTTTCGATAGGACATATTATTTACATTAAATATTTAATTTAGATAAAAGTCTTGAAAGACAAACAGAAAGTTCGACTCATAGCAAACATTTTACAGAAACAAAACGGTACTTATGCTTTGCTATTCAATGAATTTTTACGTGGTTTTTCTTGTATTTTACGCAGATTTAAGCCAAATATAAAAGAAAAAATTCATAATTTTAATTTAAGTTTTTTATTAAAAAAAATTCTGCTTGTTTTTCTTTAAAAAAATCAATTTTTTTAAAATATTTGCAGCCAGGAAGGAGGAGTAAAACAGAATTTTTCCTGTTAATTTTTTAATATATATTTTTTCTAGCTATTAATAAAAATTAGATAATAAGTTTAAAGTGTATTTATAGAATAATAGAATAATTAAGTAACAATAATTTCTCTAAATTTAAATGTTATTATCCTATAAGAGTTAAGTATGGAGTGATTCATGTAATTAAAGTGCAGCATTTAAGAAAAATTACTCCAAGAAGATGCATTAAATGTCATTTTTTCTAATTAACAATTATCTGTTTTGATTTTTTTAGGCCGAAAGTGTATCTAAATTGCTTAATAATTGGATAGATACGGTGAGTACTTTTATACAAGTAATAATTAAAAAGAAAATCAAAAAAATATTTTTAATTTATAAAATAAAAAATATATTTTTATATAAATTAGAATCCTGGCATGATGGAAGTCTTAGAAAACGAGTTACAGGTAAGAATAATTTTATAAAAATCAAAAATATTTTATTTAAAAATTCAGGTTAACTAAACATAGAGAAATAGCATATCAAACTTCATATATAGTGTCGCCATCTAGTGGATTCCGTTAACGTAATTAAATAAGTACATATATTTTCCTATTAAAAATATATATTTGAGTGATTAAAGATAGGAGGAAAATAATAATGATATTAAATGTAATTAATAACGTCAAACATTCAATATTTTAAGAGAATAATTAATAATTAAATATTCTGTTTATTAGAAAAAAATCCCGATCATTAAGCCATGTATCGATTTGTAAGAGGGGAGTAATTAGCAGTTATGCGGGATTTTTTTTTTGTAATTAAAGTAAAAATTAACGGAAAAACGTGGGAGGAAGAAAATGCTTTAAAATCGTTAATATTCCGATATGATAAAATATCATCGTTCCGTATCCTTTCCTGTTCTGTAATAATGAATCATAGCAACGGTATCGTTACGCAATCGTTGTTTGTTAACTTTCCAGAAAGTACGAGTAGAATGTTACAAAAGGAGGAGAAGCGAAAACAGAAGATCGTATTTAACGTATCGTATCACATATTTTGCCAACATTTTCTTTCGTCATTTCGTCAATTCTCATATTTAAAAAAAATCATGTGATTAATACGAAACGATTACGTGATTACGTACACGTATTTGCCCGTTCGGTGTAAAAATAAAACATTCTTAGAAGATTTTTTGGGTTATTGCTATCGTTATAAATATTAAAAAATTCCCAGAAAAATTAAAGTTAGTAAAGAGGAAGGTTAAATGCATTTTTTATATTATTATTCCGGTTAAGAAGTTAACCTAGAAATTCGAATTCCTAGAAGGCGGTAGTATAGTTATCGGAAGAGCTACGTCGTCATCGAAATGGCTTTTAATGCGCATGATCGTTTATATCTACGTTCCAGTAATCAAACCATATATGGGAATTTCCGGAAGTCGAAAACTTCCGAACTCTTAGGTTCGGCGAATGGCGGCGCTTCCATCAATCGTTACCGATTAATTAAATCGGATTTATTTCGTTCTTTTTACATTATAACTTTCTATATATTCGAAACGACAATTTTTCAATTATAATTATTATTAATAAGTTAAAATTCGTTCGATAAAACGAAATAAAATTATTTAAAACTGGTTCGTTTTTCGTTACGTTACGTTCACGTCACGAGCACGTGATACTAAAGTTGACGTCAGTCTCTATTTTGGGGATAGTCGGAAGAATGATGTCATCCTTTGTATAAAACTTGCGGGCTTTCCTCTACCCCCCGATGACTCATAAAAGTAGGTATTCGACGGTGATCTAGGTTAGAAGAAGTTGTCCCACCTTCCCTACCCCTCTGATTACGACCGCGTGTAACTTGCGGAAGTTTTATAACAGAAACGAACTATTATAACGTACGACTCGACAATTATAAGCGATGTATTCGCAAACATCGACATCAACAGTAACTGAGGTGCAACCCTCAGCATCGAGACTTTCGGTCGCCGATATTTTATCGTCTATGGCAAATGGAGTTGGTGAATCGACGCCTGTCACAACAGTGAGTGTTTTCGCTTTCGTTTACAAACTTTTCTATCGCTATTCATTGTCTCTTCTATAAGTCACTCCTCCTCTTCTTCTCCATTGTCTCTCCTAATCACTTGATGATGCCTCTCTCTTCATCCACAACACATACAATCGCATCCTTTAAATTACCTTAATACATTATATATAATAATATTTCCATTATTGATAACACCCATACTTATTAATATATAAACATTATTACTATTACATAAACTTTTATAATTAAATTATTATAAATATTATATAAGACATGATCAGTTTTAATATATACTGTATATATAATATATATATATGACATAAACATATATTATAGTTTTAATGTTATTTCAAGAAGTAGATTTGTACAAAAATTCATTTAATTAAGTAAGAGAATGGGATTTTTGATGGTTATTTATAGCTTGTTATTGAAGAATGCCAAGAGGAAACTTTTTCAAAACATATGAGGCATGTTTCGGATGCTGGGAATAGTTTAGGATTATACTGTTTTCGTTATGTGCTAAGAGATGTTTTGGTTATGTAATAATACGGTTTAGTGCCGCGGATTTTACAAAATTAGCATTTTGTGTTTGAAATGTTATTTAATTACCGAGATTTGTTAAGGGGGGAAATGCTATATTCGGGAAATTTGTTTTGGTTCCCGAATTTAGCATTTTTTTTTTTCTGCCTAATAATTTCCTGTCGAGTACAATTGTTCTTTTGATTTGATTTAATTACTATTGTTATTTATAAAATAACAACAATATAGGACGATAGTCGATACTCTGTTATGATCTTTATGAGGTAAATTGTAATTATGAAAGAAATTATAAAAATCTGTATCTTTGTATTAATTTTTATATTGTGAAATATTATAAATGTTAAGATTTCATATTTAAAAAATCCTATATTTTTCAGTATGGGTAATCTTAAATTTCCATCTGATTTAGGATCTTAATAAGTTTTTAATTAAAATATTTGTTAAATTAATAACCATATAATTAGTACTTAATTCGATTCTGATTATCTGCCTGAATGCAAGTGAATAGCATTGTTCTCTTTCTATTCTAGAATTCAATATAGAAGTTGATAATTAGAAAAAAAAATGAAAAAAAAATTCCCAAATATAAATGATAAGATACAGAATTCCATTAAAAAAAATTAAATATTTGCACATTATTAAAATATTTTTTTAAAGTCGATTACTTTTTAATAAATATTTTAATATAATAATTTGTTAATTTTTTAATTTCGATTAAAAATTATTTTTTTGATATGATATAATTAATAATTATTAGTTAGAAAGATCTTTTAATGCAAACTTCTTTGGGATGTTGCCGATAAATAAATTGAAGGCTATCATGACAATAACAAACTGCTGTTGGAACCATCAGACAAGGTGACCCTTGCATAAATGTTATTTTAATGATGCTATTATAGCTCTTTTTGTGTTGTAGGAAAATTCATACACCATCTTAACAGCTCTGTAGATGACAATCTTGTAGTTTATTATTATTTTTTTTTTAATGTGTAGTTTTGTGCACATTTTATGGGAAACTTTTATTTGCATAATTTATCCAGTATTATTTATTTTTAGGTATGGATATAATATCAGTGTTTGAATTTGGCATATTATCCTTTAATGGCTTCATTTATAATAATTTTAAATCTAGATTCAAATATTTATAAATTTAAAATTCAATATTCGTGTGTTGGTGAAATCTTAAATAAAGTTTTAGTTATTTTTCCAGTTATTTATTTACCAATAAAATTTTATTTTTAGTAATAATAATAATAATAAAATATAGAATCATTTCAATGAATTTTTTTTTTAATTTTACACATCTAAAAATAATTTAAGATAAATTTGAGAACAAAAATGTAAGAAGCCATTAATGAAGGCTGAACTTATCCTTCTAACAATTTACTCTTGTTAGTAATATTAAAAAAACAAAATCAATAAATATATAGTTAAAGAAAAGGCACTTGGTATTTTTTTTTGTTTTTAAATGGTGCTCATCCAAAAACTGTAGAGTAATTTATCCTAAAGTAAAAAAAAAAATTAAAATTCATTTGAAGACGTAAAAACGTATAAGGAATGAATTATTAGAAAACATCCCTGACCTGGTATAAATTTGATTTTAAGGGGAAATATGTTTTCATCATAAAACTTTTTTTAAACTTTAAAATCAAATTCAGTTGTTTGCCAAATGTTTTGCACAGACANGCCGATAAATAAATTGAAGGCTATCATGACAATAACAAACTGCTGTTGGAACCATCAGACAAGGTGACCCTTGCATAAATGTTATTTTAATGATGCTATTATAGCTCTTTTTGTGTTGTAGGAAAATTCATACACCATCTTAACAGCTCTGTAGATGACAATCTTGTAGTTTATTATTATTTTTTTTTTAATGTGTAGTTTTGTGCACATTTTATGGGAAACTTTTATTTGCATAATTTATCCAGTATTATTTATTTTTAGGTATGGATATAATATCAGTGTTTGAATTTGGCATATTATCCTTTAATGGCTTCATTTATAATAATTTTAAATCTAGATTCAAATATTTATAAATTTAAAATTCAATATTCGTGTGTTGGTGAAATCTTAAATAAAGTTTTAGTTATTTTTCCAGTTATTTATTTACCAATAAAATTTTATTTTTAGTAATAATAATAATAATAAAATATAGAATCATTTCAATGAATTTTTTTTTTAATTTTACACATCTAAAAATAATTTAAGATAAATTTGAGAACAAAAATGTAAGAAGCCATTAATGAAGGCTGAACTTATCCTTCTAACAATTTACTCTTGTTAGTAATATTAAAAAAACAAAATCAATAAATATATAGTTAAAGAAAAGGCACTTGGTATTTTTTTTTGTTTTTAAATGGTGCTCATCCAAAAACTGTAGAGTAATTTATCCTAAAGTAAAAAAAAAAATTAAAATTCATTTGAAGACGTAAAAACGTATAAGGAATGAATTATTAGAAAACATCCCTGACCTGGTATAAATTTGATTTTAAGGGGAAATATGTTTTCATCATAAAACTTTTTTTAAACTTTAAAATCAAATTCAGTTGTTTGCCAAATGTTTTGCACAGACAAAATTTCTAATCTTATTATTTGAATAATTTGAAAAAAAATTATTATTATTATTATTTTTTTTTTTCTCTTTAAGGTCTGAACAGTTTACAATTATCCCATATTATTTATAAGTCTTTTAAAATTGGTATTATTTTTAAATGGAAACTTTGAATATCTGTCCTTTCCCTATATATTAGATGCTATAAATTGTAATAAAGTGAAAAATAACTTCTAGAAAAATAATTTGTTTGTAAGATTTATCATAAACGAGGAGTTTTTATATATGACTTTTCATTTAATTTTTTAAATTAGCTTTTAAATAAAATTTTAAAGTTTAAACTAAAGTTTTCTAAAAGTTTATTATTAATCAAGTTCTTTAATA